TTTAGGTATCTCAAACTGTAGAGCAACTAAAACGTATGTCAATATATTAGCCGAAATCTAAAATAATAATGTAATTATTAATTCAAAAGGTTTGCACTTTTCGTTACTTGATATGTTCATAATATGTTTTAACAAAATAACTATACAATGATGATATAGAACCAAATAACATTTGGTGAACCATAACATAAAGCAGTAAAGGAAATTTTGTACATATTCAGAAGAAAACAGCATCATTGGTTTGACCTCTATTTATTGGTCTTAATCTCTAAAATATCCCTTCATTTCGACTTCTTAAGCGCTCTGTTTTTTAATTTATATGTATTCAGAATTTTCACCCCTTTTCCATATATCTGAGTCTAAATCGTTCCTTTGTTCTTCTTTTTATTAGTTGCTGTTTGGTTAGTTTATAAATTATATCGTCTGTGTTAAATATTGTTCTATTTAATGCCTATATAAATGCTATTCAGAATTATTCGTTTAAAGTTAGCTAACAGTTTGCAATCATTTGAATCATGCCCTTCCTCCTCTTCATTCCTTGAGCCCTTGTTAGGGCTTGGTGACACTCTAAATATGCTATGAGGCTTGCTGCCTGCATTGGCTGTCATCATGTGCCATATGGATGGCTTCATGTAGGAATTTTCCCACCAGAGTCTTTATTTGGTCTGCCCATCGTATTGTAGATCTTTGTCTTGACAGGTTGATTCTATGTTCTGTGAAGGATACGCGTATAATTCTTTTATAGACCCACATTTCGGAGACTTCGATCTTATTCCTATCGATTTTTGTGAGTGTCTATGTAGCAATAGAAAAAAGAAGAGCATTGACCAACCTGAGCTTATTATTCCTTGTTATTGTTCTGTCTTTTCATATTTTAATCAGTTTAACTGTTGCGATTCAGGCCATTGTTAGTAGGTTGATTTCTGAGGACCTATCGCCATTGTTGGTTATCAGGGAGCAGAAATGTATAAATATGTCTACCACTTCGAAATTCACCACTTGGTGTGTACGGTAGATTATTATTATTTGCTCTATCTGCGATTATTACTTTTATTTTTCCGGTATTGATCTGAAGTCTGAATTCTTTGCTTATCCGGCGTAGCCGTTCAGTGATGATAATCATTTCAACTTGACTCGCTGCTAGTATAAGTGTACCATTTGCGTATCGCGGGTTGCTGATTTTTCTGCTTCCTATAGTAATTATTCCATTCTATCCATCTAGTAATATTCTCATTATATATTCATTGACCTTACAGTGAGTTAAAGCCACACTTACCCAACGTGTTGGCTAATTTGATTTCAGATGGTTTTAATATGGGGGGCCGTCGCTGCTATAAAGCACGCACTTCGTTATCATTGCTGTTTTTTTTTGGCGTTTACCAAGCCATAACCCGGTTTCTGCTTCCGTTATTCGCGCCGATCTGAAGGTATTCTATGAGATGCCTGGCGTTGTGACCTGATGTGACTAGCCAACCCCTATATGTGAAGTTTTTCAGTCATTGAAAGCTGTATTTTTCTCTAGGTATGTTTTTGAACTATGTTTGCCCTATTTGTGTTTTGGGCTGCTATTTTGAACTGCTGTTTTTATCAGGTTCAATACTTCTATTATATCTGTTCTTCTTCTATATATGATATAAACATAAAATTTATACAACTTTTATTATTATTGTTCCTATGTTATTGGTTGCTAATTGTCTAATTATTTTCCCGAGAGAAATATGGAAAGAATACATGATATTGCAACTCCCTGTCATGGTTTTATTCGAACATTTATATATTGTAAAAATAGATAATATAATAGATTAAAATGAAACGTGTTCTACACTCCTTAATAAAAAATACTTTCATCAACAAACTAACAAAATTTTCTAAATCCTATCATATATACACAGACGCTTTCAAAACATCTACTGGAGTTGGGGCAGCTGTCATTACTCCAAATATTACACTTAAGTATAAACTACCATCTTTAAGCTGTATACATACTGGCGAGCTATACGCCATCTATCAAGCTCTTGTTCATATTAACTCCAGTAATATATCCAATGCTCTTATAATTACCGATTCCCTCAGTTCCATCAATACCATTAACCAACTGTACACGAAGCATCCAATTGCTCTCCTAATCAAAAAAAGAACTAGCTACCATTCAAAACAATAGCTATATCATACAATTCCTATGGGTTCCTTCACACATTGGCCTTCAAGGAAATGAAGAAGCAGATCGTACAGCCCAACAAGCCAGTAACAGTGAAACCGCGAGTGAAGTGAGGGATGTAGTTCTTAACGATTTAAAATCATTTATTAAAGTGAAAGTCGAAAATCTGTGGCAAAACCAGTGGGACAGTTCAACTTCAAAACTTCGCAAAGTGAAAACTTGTGTAAAACCGTGGAAATCTCAAATTCCCAACAGAACTCACCGTCATTGTTACTCGTGTTCGTTTAGGACATACTCGACTTAAGCACGGACACATAATTGGACACACTAATCCCACTTTATGCGAAATCTGTAATATCCCACTAAGTGTTAAGTATGTACTTGTAGAGTGCCCAAGATACCAGTTGCAGAGACAAAACAACCACATCATCGGATCAACAAGTAAAATCTTAGGAGAAAATTGTAAAATTTAACATTTGGTAAAATTCCTCAAAGATATCAATGTTTTTAACAAAATCTAACATTTGTAAATAAATTATCTTATGTATATGTATTCTTCTTTGGGTGCCGTCTTCAATGAAGGTTGGCGATAACCTCAGCAAAATCATTTCTGTCCCTGGCTTTTCTTATTAAAGATTGAGAATCCAAACCACTGTAATGCGCAATTACACACTGTATACATATATGTATACAATGTGTAAAAGCCAAATGGAATAAATTCATTATTACGGTTACTGTACATATTTATAAAAAATCCCGAAACACGTCAAATTTAAATTATAACTTGATATTCTTTAACGTGAAAATGCAACCCCTACCTTCAACCCCCTTAGAATGACAGGTACAACCCACAATTTTTAAAATAAGAAGTATAGGCTTGTGATATATCGTTTGAAAGGTCTTTTTATTCTCCATTCAAAAATATTGTCGCTTTCAAGTTTATTAAGAATAATTAAAATAAAATAAATTAAAATCATGTGGTTACCGAAATTCGCTAAAATACAATCAAAAACTAAAATGTAATGCAAAACGTAATAAACTGTAGAACACGAAAAAGAACTATGAATGTTAATGAATTAGATGTTCAAAATGTTGCTTGTTCAAGACCGCGAACGTCTTGGCAACATCCTAATCTTAAATAAAACTGTCTTCTAACATTATTTAACATAACAGGCGTGATCGACCTAATCACAAGCGTTATTCGTTCTTTTAAATCATTTAAATCAGAAAGTTTAGTTTTTTTCACATAACTCTTCACATATCCCCATAAAAAGAAATCTAATAATGTAAGATCAGGTGATCGCGCTGGCCATTTAATCGATCCTCGCCTCCCAATTATCCACCGATTGGGAAATATTATATCGAGGTATCGAGGTAATTTGCCAACGTTGGAATGACATAATTTTGAAGTAGTGCCAAATAATTGTTGCCATTCAAGTTGCCCTCAATAAAAAGGGACCAATGATATTTTTTCCTACAATCCCTGCCCAAACATTAACCTTTTGAGGGTATTGAGTGTGTTCTTCTCTCATCCAGTGAGGATTTTCCTTGGCCCAGTAGCGGCAATTTTGTCCATTAGCATGATCGTTAAGTGAAAAAGTACACTCATCAGAAAACATAACGTCTTCTAATCTCTAAAATGTCCATCATTTGCTCTCAAAAAAAGTTCTTCTATCAAAACCGTCTTCCATGAGCTTCTGAGTAGGTACATCTTATAGGGATGCAATTTATTTTCTTTTAATATGTTTACTATCGATGTATGGCTAGCATTGAATGTAGTGGATGCCTGTCTACTCGATGTATGTGGATTTTCGTGAAACTCAAGCAACACATCTAATTTGAGTTCATCTCTCAATGCATTGGCAGCTGCTTTTTTTATCTGCCTTACATGACCAAACTCGCGAAACTGCTTCTCTATTTTACTTATTGTTCCTTGGGATATAGGCGGTAAATTAGGAAATTTCTCATGAAATATGCGAGTTACTTCCTGTTGTGTTCGGGTGTTATCTCCGTAACCAATCATTTGTAAAACTGTTATTTTATGCATTTCCGTTAATCTAACCATTTTTCAGAATCAAATTGAACGAACTTTTTACTTTAATTAAAATACTGACAACTTAAATAAAACAATTTACTAATGCGTGTTAAAATAACGTTGCCACGGAAATTCTTTAAAGTTTTTTAATGGTTACCATCTAAAAACCACATTGCTATGGTTTTTGTTCACTTTCTCATTATCAAGACCTAAACGGGAAATAAGTTTTGAGTATATTTTAGCGGATTTCGGTAACCACATGATTTTAATTTATTTTATCTTAATTAATCTTACTAAATTTGAAAACAACAACATTTTTGAAAGGAGAATGAAAAGACCTTTCAAACGATATATCACAAGCCTATACTTCCGATTTTAAAAATTTTGGGTTGTACCTGTCATTCTAAGGGGGTTGAAGGTAGGGGTTGCATTTTCATGTTAACGAATGTCAAGTTATAATTTAAATTAGACGTGTTTCGGGATTTTTTATAAATATGTACAGTAACCTAAATAATGAATTTATTCCATTTGGCTTTTACACACTGTATATGTCGCTAATACCTGAGAGGTTGATGCGACTATTTCGTAAAATAAAAAATAAATAAATAAATAAAAATGAAACGTCGCAAAGGTAATGGAAGTAAAGAAAGGAAAATTATGTAAAAACAAAACGAAAAAAAATACAGCAGATTCCAACATAATGAAATGGTATTCGTGAACAGAAATAATTTTACCGAGATACTTTTTAAAATACATGAATAAATGCTGAATAATTAGAATAAAATATTCAATAATTAAACTACTTACTGGACCCGCAATTCCAAGATCAATGGTAAAAACTCCACTGGCCGTAAAAGGACGGTGGTTTTTAATTTTTTCTATGAAAAATCTAATTTGTTGGTGTTCGTCAGGATTGGAAACTCTTGTCGAATACTCCAATAGGAAGTTAATTAGTCCATTTACCTACAATATAAAAATATTTTACAATATAATATTAAAAGTATGTAATACTTATAATGGATGCTCATTTAGGGAGAACGGCATATGCTTAATTTGGTAGATTGGTGGTTCCATTTTATATAGAGCTTCAACTAAAGAATGTATTGTTGCCCTAGTTTTATACACACTTTTCTGAACTAAATATTGTCGAAAAATATTCTGTTAATATCTCGGTTTCTCTGTTTGTTATTGTCTATTTCTCTTCGGCATTTTTTACAGGAGGTATGGCGTCTTCAGCGCTACAGTCCATGGAGGCCCTTGGCTTCTATTTACTTCGTTAATTTTTTTCACTTATTCCAGTCGTTTGCTCTCTCTTTCTCTAATTCTTCACTCCTTTACCATTAAAATCACCTTTAACTGTGTAACGATGAGTCCAAGCCATCACCGTTAAACCAGCGTGCGCGCGAACCAACCCATGAAGTAGGAGTGTATCGACAGTAGAAAGGGCAAAACTAATTACCAAGCTCCGCTATATAAACCGCAACATTTCCTCATAGAGACAGAATCGACAGGTGTTGACTGAAGGTTCTCTTCTTCCCTACCCCGGCTTGTGGACGTGTTGAGTTCACAAGTTGTTCCGTCCCATACCGCCGTTACCCGAAGAGCGTGTTGAGCTCTTCACTACCCGTACTCTGAAGCAGTCGTGTTGAGACTGTCGAGGAGTGTCCTATTAACCCGAATCACTTAAGGGACGTGTTGAGTTCTTTTCCTTTCTTTGTACCTATCGTCCGCTGTTATTAAATCGATACAACGTTCCCGTAAAATTTCAAATACACACTCGCTTGCCGATAAGACTAATTTCATATGACAAGGTCAAACTTAATTTGAATAAATAGGCCAGGTACTGAGAACACTATACCAAATTGTAAATATGTACATAAGATTTTTGTCAATTTAATTTAAGGAAGACAATAAAGTTTTATTTTTATTTTGAACTCTGTCTCTGACTGTCCAAAAGCTACCCGGATAGTGACTTCTACGAGAGGACATTACAACGGCTTCTAACCACTTTTTCCGTGGTCTTCCGCCCTTCATTTTTCCCCGCCTCCTCGTAAAAACACCTTTTTTACACAACGTTTCTCTGGCATTCGAGTAATATGACCTAACCACCTGACTGTGCTTTGACTTTTTGTACAATTAGGGGTTTTCTATACATCTCCATTACCTCGTTATTTGTTTGTCTTCGCCAGTTTTCCTCCGGCCTCAGTGTCGCTGCTGGACAACTGCCTTGGTCGTCCATCCGCTGGTAAACTTCGTAGTGAAGATGGTAAAATTTTTGCCATGTTCTTACCACGACACCCAAGAAATATCTCACAGATAAGAAATTTTAAGGGCCATTCAAAATGAATAAACGGAAGAGGAGAATGTCGATGATTCTTTAAAATTTACTGCTGCTGAAGTTGTTAAGGCCCTGAACATCAGTTGGACAGAAGATAACCGCAACAGTAGCGTGGAGATCATAATGCCAAGGCGTATAAGAGACAGACCGTTTGATCAGCACCTCGAGACTGGCTTTTTGGATTTTTATATAGATAATATGTATTTATTAAATTAATTGTATATGAATATGTTTATATAATGTAATTTTTTATTAATATACATAAAGTATAGTAAGTTTAGTCATTTTTATTGTGTTTTACAGTTTTTCTTCCCCCAATAAAAAAGTCATAGGTAACTTTGCGATCATCCGAGCAACCCGTTTCACCGATTCTGTTCGGATTAACGCAACCATACTGTAATTGGTTTCACTTACCATGTTTTTCAACTGCTGGGCATTCTTTAAAAACAAAAACAAACTGTACGTGTGGAAAATAACGTAAGCCCAGTTAATAAGGTGAATCGTGTGGGCCTGAGGATCCTTAAAGCTATAAACCATGTAAGCAATGACTGCATACCAATGGATAATCAGCATTCCCAGTTCGATTACTGTGTGTATAAGAAAATATGGATCCATGGATTTGTTCCAGCTGTATATACACATACTTAATTCTTCGTGGTATATTCGTAAGTATTCGATGATCTCGGCAGGCTTCATTTCTAGTAGTTCATCTGTAGCGGGATGGTTCTCTCTGCATATCTTGTAGTGGATAACTCCTTAAAAACCACATGGAACATATTACTCTACTATCTTCTAAAGAGTGTTTTTCTAGATGTATAGAACTTTGAAATGGAATAAGACAAAGGTTTTTTTAAATTGACACTTTGTAAATTGCCTTTAAGCGAAAGATAATCATCAGAACATTTATACCCGTATGTCGGCAATAAAGCGGCGAATCTCCTCTTGTGGTCAATTATTTCAGGCTTATCGGCGTAGACCAGCAACCTCAGATACCCCCGCAGAAAATAGTCCCACGGTGTTAAATCGTACGATCTTGAAGCTCACTTCACGGGTCCGAAGCGTGAAACTAGGCAGTTAATAGGAATAGTAAGAAATAAATAGTTTAAGTTAGGAATAAAAATGTCAGTAATTATGGCTCTATAGCAATCATCATTGTGGTAGCGAGTAGACACTCTTTACGATCCCGGTAAAGACAAATCTGCTTCAGGGGTGCGTCCCTGCCCTGCCGAGCTCGGCTTTTTTTCCCAATCTTCTTCCGGGAGAGAAACGGATCCTAATCCCTAAATCCTACCCACCAATCCAGACCTACCCAAATCCTTCCCTTCCCTCCTCAACCCGCACTGGACCAGCGTGAGGAGATAACGGTCCAAACCTTCAAGTCAATGTACAGGACAAAAAAGAAAAGGCCCCCAGTGCCCAGCACTTCCCAGAGTCTTGATCACGGCAGCGATCAAACAACTAACGGAAGGGGGGGTGCTAAGAATCCCTGGGTAAGACCCGGTTGCCACAAGATGACAATTTGGCTATAATCCTACAATATTCGAACACTGACGGACGACAATAGACTCCCAGAAATAGAAAGTGAACTAAAGGATATAAAATGGGATATCCTTCATCTCATCATCCTTCATATCAGCATGTCTTATCATCAGGATTAATAAAAGAACCACTCTGAAAGTGATCCAAGTGTACGCTCCGACCAAAAGCCACGACGATGAAGAATTAGAAATATTTTATGATGAAATAAGAACAGCTATAGAAACAAATAAAGCAAATTACGAAATACTATTAGGAGATTTTAATGCTAAATTGGGCAAAAAAGAGGAAGATTTTGAACATTTATTTGGTAACTATGGCTATGGGAAAAGAAACGATAGAGGAGAAATGCTTCTCAATTTCATGAATGAACATAACATGTACTCAATGAACTCCTTTTTCAATAAAAAACCAAGCAGAAAATGGACATGGACGAGCCCCGATAAAAAGACAAAGAATGAAATAGATTATATCTTAACGAAGAATAGAAACCTAGTAGAAGACGTATCAGTATTAAATCAGTTTGACCTAGGAAGCGATCATAGACTAATAAGAACAAAACTAATAATTAACAAAAAACTAGAAAGAAAAAGAATACATGAAAAAAGATACAAATAGACATCTGAAGAAATCAAAAATAGTGAATTTAATAAAAAATAGTGCATGCATTAAATAAAGTTAACATGCAGCAGATAAACTCCAATGATATTGATGATTTGAATAACCTTATTACCCAAACAGTGAATAAAAGCCTTCTGCAACTGAAAAAACCAAAAGCAACATACAATGAATTAGACAAAGAAATATTACAACAAATAGAAAGAAGAAAGATCTTAAATAAATCTAACAAAAGGGGAACCGATGAATATAGAGAACTTAATAGGCAGATTAGAAAAGGAATCAGACAACAAAAAAGAAAAGAAAACGAAAAATTAATAACAACAACTATTGAAAAAAATAAGAGTATGAAATGAATCAGACCGACACTAGGACGACGTCAGATGATATCGTTAATGGAAAAAGACGAAAATGAAATCACAACTAAAGAAAACGTACTGACACGAATAGAAGAAGTTTACACAGAACTTTACAGAACACATCAACAAGATGATAAGATGAGACCAGCACGGAAATTAATAAAAAATGTTGGATCAGAAATAATGCCAAAAGTAATAATTTCTGAGAGAACTACGGCATTGGAATACATGAAGAGAAATAAAGCTGCAGGAGAAGATAGTATTACCACAGATATGATATTAGAAGGAGGTAAGGAACTAATTGCAATTGTAACTAAGCTTGTGGACAGTTGTTTACATCAGGGCAAAGTCCCTAAGAGCTGGAACAACTCTAAAGTAATCTTATTATACAAGAAAGGTGATAGTCGAAAATTGGAAAACTACAGACCAATCAGCCTACTGGCACACTTGTTTAAAATACTCACCAAAGTCATAACTACTCGACTAACAAGAAAATTAGACGAATACCAACCATATGAATAGGCAGGTTTTAGAAAAGTCTATTCAACTTCCGATCACCTGTTAACAACAAAAATATTAATAGAAAAATTTAACGAATACAAGTTTCCAGTTTTCCTAGCATTTGTAGACTACGAAAAAGCTTTCGATACCCTAGAACACACGGCCGTAATAAACGCAATGCAAAATTGTAGAATACACAGCAGATATATTAACTTAGTAAAAGAAACTATGAACCAAGCTACAGCTACATACTACCTAAATGAAAATGAACACACGAACCCTGTACCATTAAAGAGGAGAGTCAAACAGGGAGATACTTTATCACCCAAACTGTTCACCTTAGTTTTGGAGGACGTTTTAAAAAACCTAAATTGGAAATATAAGGGAATAAACATCAATGGTCGCTACCTCAGTAATCTACTATTTGCAGATGACATAATCCTGATAGCTACTGACCTACAAGAAATGCAAACCATGCTTTTAGAACTACGTACCGAATCTTCTAAAATAGGACTGAAAATGAATTTAAACAAAACAAAAGTCATGCACTCCGAAGACACCGTGACAATAATAAACGATAAAGTTATAGAAAAAGTTGAAGAATATATATTCTTAGGACAAAAAATAATACTAAATAGGGAAATTGAAACTGAAGAAATAAAAAGAAGAAGAAAGTTAGCTTGGGCAGCATTCGGTAAACTGAACTATAGACTAAGAAATCAACAAATTCAATTACATCTTAGATCTAAAGTTTTTGATGCATGCATTATTCCGATATTAACTTATGCGGCACAAACATGGACAATCACAAAAAAGAATATGAATATACTTGGAGTCACTCAACACGCGATGGAAAGAGCAATGCTAGGTATATCACTTAAGGACAAGAAAACAAACACATGGATAAGACAGAAAACCAAAGTCACCGATGTGGTGCAAAAATCATTAAAGTTAAAATGGGAATACGCTGGACATGTAGCTAGGAGCGATCCAAACAAATGGCACAGATCAATTTTAACCTGGAGACCATACCAACACAAAAGACCCAGAGGCAGACCTCTTATGAGATGGACAGATGATCTGAAAAGGACTGCCGGGAAAAATTGGCTACAAGTAGCGTACAATAAAAAACAATGGAAAGGAAGACTTGAAGAGGCTTATGTTCAGATGTAGACGTGAATGGCTAGACGAAGAAGAAGAAGAAAAAAAAGCAATCATCATTGACTGTAACGTTCTGGCTAGCATCTTTTTTAAAGAAGTACGGGCCAATAATTCCACCAGCTCGTAAACCACACCAAACAGTTAGTATTTCTAGATGTAATAGTTTCTCAACATACACTTAACGATTATCTTCACTCCAAATATGGCAGTTTTGTTTGTTGACTAAAAATTCAGCCAAAAATGAGCTTCGTCGCTAAACAAAATTCAACAGCAATCTCGTTCAACGAAGCATATAATCATGGGCACTTGAAATTCTCTAATCTTTTTAAGACCTGAGTTGTCTCAGATTCAGGATTTGTTCCCGTGTACCTTTACCCTTTACAAACCCCGCTTGTTCCTGAGATATTTGGTAATGTAGATAGGACTCACAATGGACGAACAAAGTTACACATTTGAGGCTAAGACCAGATAAACGTTGTAGAGGAAGACCACCTACACGTTGGGCTGACGACATTGGGCGAATTTATGAAAGGAAGAGTTTAAGGGAGGCCTATGTCCAGCAGTGGACGTGATAAATGAAGGCTGGATGATGATGATAAAAATTTGGATTTAGTCGCAAAATTTCGGCCAGGTGCTGATCCTTCACACCTTGGGAGCCAGTAGCATATTTCACACCATTCCACCCGAAACCGAGATGGCGTCGAGCGTAAGTGGGGTCGTTACACATCCCATCTTCACTCACTAAAATTGTCATCGTTATGGGAAGAAATTCACTATGGGACAAGTTAACTGTAACTGGATTCCCTGTAACTGTTGGGACAAGTTAATTTCAATAAAAAAACCTGTTCTCCAAATATCATTATATTCAAAATGTTACAGAAGTTTTAATATATTTATGTGGCCTCTGATTAAGTACCCTCGGCCACGTGATGCAGAACGAAGAAAAATATCGAATTCTTCAACTCGTTATGCAGGGTAAAGTATTTGGCAGAAGCGTACCAGGACGCCGTCGTATCTCGTGGTTGAAAAATCTCCGACAATGGTTCGGTATGACCTCAGCGGAGCTGTTTCGCAGAGCAGTCAACAAAACCATGATAGCCTTGATGATCGCCAACATCCGGACCAGATAAGGCACTGAAGAAGAAGAAGGCCTCTGATTCCAATTTGTATTTCACCAGAAATTATTTTGCGATCAATTTTGATTTTTGTCGGTATCAATTGCGATCTGTGTAAAGATAAACAAAATGAACTTACCCATAAAATCTGAAATATTGTTGCTATCGTCGATATCTTTCATTGGATGGACTGGTATATATTTCAAACAGCTAACAGTAAACTTTTCGAAGCATGCCAATGTTGCTATTAAAAACCCAAATATAGTAAAGAAGACGGCGTAGAGGCAAAACGTAAGATTTGATGATAATCTATACATGAGGTTTAAGAAACTGATTTCGTCATGAAATCTGTTCGTGTAGATAAGCCAGACATACAAAAATATTTGAAATAATAAAACTGCTAATACACAAAGGTATTTAATGTATTGCAAAGCAAGGCATCTTTGCATAACCGATTGACAGAATAGTTCTGGCTTTACGGTATCGATTATTTTATTCATAGTTTCAATGTAGCTGCCGAATTTAAAGAATACCAAAAATGTTACTACAATAACGTAATGACCGTTAATGGCATTCGTTAGGTTATTTAGAAGCACCAGTAAGGAATTAGTATTTGTTAGTTCTTTGTAGTGGATATTGGTGCACACTAGAAAAAGTGTGAGACCTGTTATAAAAGCTGAGTACACAAGCCCCCAAGCAGACTTTTTATAGCGACATTTGTTATTCTCGTGAGTCCAGTAAATCGGAAAACACCCAAGACATTTCAGGAACATACATGTGGGAGCTAGAGTTTTGCAAATGCAGAGCAGGGATTCTTGTTGTTTCTCCTTTTTATGAAAAGCACTATTTTTCTTCTCGGGGGTAATTGCCAAGACCATTTTGCTTCGCTTGCAGTTGTTTTTAAGTTTTTTAAGTTACTTTTGCTGATACCTAAAATAACAATATAAGTTAATTGTAACAAAATATAACTTATTTTTATTTTATACCATAAAATATTTATACATACACTATCACAATATTGACGAGTACTGGAATCGACTAAAACATTGTCTACTGGAACCATGTAAAGAAATACTAAATATTTCCACAAGGAAAAAAGAAAAATGGATAAATGACGAGATACTCAATATGATGGAACAACGGAGACAATTTAAAAACAAAGACAACAATAAATACAGAAAGATAAACTACGAGATCAGGAAGATGATAAAGCAGGCAAAAGAAAAATACTTTGAATAGGAATGTAACCAGATCGAATACCATCAAAATAAATATGATCTGTTTAATCTACACAAAAAAGTTAAAGAACTGGCAGGACTAAGAAAACAATATTAAAAATCTTCAGAGACTGGTGACCAGAATAGCGGAGTATGAAAAAGAGTATGGTCTAACAATAAATGTCAAGAAGACGAAATTTATGAGAATATCGAAAACTCAAAGAAATAACGAGAATTTTCTAATAAACGGTACCAACGTCGAAGAAGTGGACAAATATGCATATCTGGGAACAATGATTAACTCCACAAATGATTACATTCAGGAGATCAAAATCAGAATAGAAAAGGTTAGAGCAAATTTCAACAAACTGGAACTGGATTTAAAATTGGAACTAAGAGTAAGGTTGGTGAGGTGCTATGTTTTTTCGACTTTATTCTATGGAATGGAATCTTGGACCATGAATGCGACATCAATGAAAAAACTGGAATCATTCGAGCTGTGGGTGTATAGAAAAACTGAAAATGTCGAGGTCAGAACACGTCACAAACAAAGAGGTTCTGAGAATAATGAATAAAGAAGTAGAAATTTTAAATACAAGTAGAATGTCATGGCTGCGCAACCGCAAGAGAAGAATACATTCTTAAAAAAATTTAACAGATAATGGACTTGGGTAGCACCAAATGGAACCACTAAGAACAAAATTGACTTTAATGTTAACCAATAAGATTGCTTAGAAGTATGTCAGTGTATTATCAAAGAGACAACGACCATAGACTAATCATAGCAAAAATTGTTCTAAATCTGAAAGAAGAGAGAATAAAATTAATCACAAAACCAACAGCAACCAGTAAAAATATTAACAATCTCATATTACCAATCTATTTGCTTAATGATATTTAATTCTATCTCAAAGTTGTATATAGCAGTAAACAATGGATACAACGAACAAACAATTAATAAAAATTTAAATAAAAAAATACACAAGAAAGCCCTGAAATTAGTATTTCCACCACCAGAGAAAAAACTCAGTACTTTCTGTTTGATTACATATACACACAAAATATCAACAAAAATAGCCAAACATATAAAAAAGAAAGGAATAACACCAGCTTTCAGACAAATAACAACTTATGCAAATGTATTAAAAACAAAAAGAGCCAAAATAAAAAGCACTTACACAGTGGTGTATACAAACTTAAATGTGGCGACTGTCCAAAAAACTTACATCGGTCAAACTGGTAGAACTTTTAATAAACGAATAGCAGAACATAAAAGGGCTTTTAATAATAGAAAAACTGATTCTACACACAATCCAGATACGCACTTCACCTTCTTCACATTCAAAATAAAGGCCTTAAGCTATCTTTGTTATAATCTATGGAAATTAACAAATTAAAAAACACAGATATAATTCTGAATGACCAACCTGAGAAAAACAGTTCTCCCCTCCTCAACATATTCCATTACGGACTATAAAGTGTAAACACATGCCAAAAATAGATCACTTAAGAAAGGCAATCAGCTAAAACAGCTGTAGTGATAAGAGTTCATAATAAATTTTGTGGAAGTTTTGAAAACAAAGTTTTCAGTGTTTTATTGTTACATAAAATAAATTTCCATCAAGTAATGGTCGAATCCATCACTTATTAACGAAAAAGTATAATAATAAATAGTCACTGTGTTAAAAAACAAATTTACGTATGTTCCATAGAAATGGGAAAAATCTAATGAATACCTAATACTTTTAAATCCAATCCTGCATAATACAAGAAACAATTATTGTTTTTTCAATCTACTTACTAGACGTATGCAACCAACATTACAGATATCTGTAGTAGAACAGGTCTGTCTTTAAAATTTATTTTAAATTGCGTTTATTATCAACAAAAAAAGCTATAAATCAATAAAATCAATAAAACAATCTTAAAATATTTAACAAATAGCTAAAAAATTTAACAAAGGTAATAAACAAGTTGTATTAAAGAGTCCAACAGAATAAAAATATTATTATCTATGAATGGGTTATACTTATTATTGCTATGAATTAATTAATAGTGATACAAGGAATACAATATACTGTCTATTTAAGACCACAAATAATAAAATTTATTTATATTAAGGCTCCTCTTGTTGCTACCAGAATTGACGAAAGAAGACGACTGTTATATGATCTCTCTCTATGATTGGAAAACTGATTCCACGACCACAGTGTTCTATTAGAAGAATATTAATAACTGAACTATTAACAAGTCTCTGCTTAAAATGGTTCTTTAATTTTCCTTTTTAACATCTAGAAAGGACACCGCCACATTTCGTGTGTAATGAATAAGGAAAAGGTAAGTTGAAGGTAATATACAAGTTATAAGTAGAAGGAAACTTGCAACTCACCACAACTAGAGAGTTTTAGAAGTCAACCAAAATCCGAGCTAGTTAAGCTTGTAGAGCCGTTAGCGGCTCTAAGAACGGAGTGGTATACTTAGACAGTCTTATATTCTCTTAGTATCTCTTTTACAGTTTTAACAGTATTGTGAAGGATAATAAATTAGTTACTGATCGCAAGGATCTACTTTAATATTGGAGAAACTACACGCAGCAACTAAACTCAAACAACACTAGAAGAAACTCTGTAAGTCAATATAAAAGTGAACCCTCTCCCAAAATATTGAAGTCAAAAGTTGTAAGGGAATCAAACAGAGCAAACGGGAAAAGCACCAGGCCCAGACGATATATACCTACATAGAGGTTCTAACAATGTTAAGTGAAGACAATATAGACGCCTTGGTAGATCTTTTTGGCATTTGGCCTATTTGACATTTATGGGTCCGGTCAAATATCACAGGATTGGCTTCAATCAACCTTTATACCAATCCAAAAAAAAAGATAAACGCTATTAGTTCCGAGAAATTCCAAATAAAAAGGTTATTGAGCCAGGTCCTAAAACTTTTCTCAAAGAAAATTCACACAAGAATATACAACAGATGTGAAAGAGACATTATTCTTACACAGTTCGGTTTCAGACAAGGATTTGGCACAATAGAAATTTTGACAGTTATAGCTTAACTGTTCTACTTCAGAAATGCAGAGATCAGCAAAAGGATGTCTTCCCATGCTTTATGGATAACCAGAAAGCGTTAGATTATGCTAATCATTCAGAATTGATAAGATTGCTCCAGGAACGATCGATAGATGAGAATAGCCTTAAAACCATAAAGAACCTTTATATGAATCAAGTGGCATCCGTGAGAGTAGGACTGGAGTCTACATCATATTTCTCAATCGAAAAAATTAATAAGAAAAACAATAAGAACATCCAAAAGATCCCCAAGTTCAGATATCTCGGTAGTTAGATAACTGAAGATCTAGATCCAGACATAGAGATACGTAGCAGGATTGAGCAAGCCAGAACAGCATTTACTAATATGAGAATCTTGCTTAGCAACAGCAGCACATAAACACATAAACATATTTATCGCTGTTAATTGTATTGCCGTTTAGGCATCAAAAATCAGAAAATTTAAATAAGGTCCACTACTGGTAATTGCTCCACTTACTTCATATTTGCAAACTTTACCTCTTATTATGTAAATCTTAAAAATTAAATATATTTTTGGCCACTTTGGAAAAATTCATAGACTCAATATTCATTCATTTAATTCAATTCAATTCATTCAAAGACACGATTTTTTGAAATTGCAATCTTTTGGTCTGATTTCGCACTTGAATTTCTCGAAGAGGATGCTTTTGGAAAAAAAATGTCAGAAAACAAAAAGTGTTTATTTTTGCCAAATTTACCTATAAAAAGCATTTGCGATACCAATTTTAACTTTGTTTGTATTTTACAATAATTTTTTAATAACAAATTATCAAAACCATTTATTAAAAATTATTCCATTACACTTAGTTTTGATTAGTAGTCGTTTATTAAAGGGTTATTTGGTGTTTTATGCATATTTTTAAGGGTCGC